GAAGGAAGGAAGGAAGGAAGGAAGGAAGGAAGGAAGGAAGGAAGGAAGGAAGGAAGGAAGGAAGGAAGGAAGGACGAACAAGCTGGTTGCCAAGCGCCCAGATCACAATCACTTGACTGCAGGGGTGCTGGGATGCCCAGAACTTTGAGGACCAGTCATAGCTCTCGCATTTTGTGTGAGATGGGTGGCTATATAAATATGATAAATAAATAAATAAAAATAAATAGCCACCACTTGTTCAGCACCATCATAACTTCAAAGTGCTGCTGAATGAGTGGTTATTAACTGAAGACTACCTGTAGACTTATCAATGCTATTAATGATTTCTCTCATGAACAAATAGAAATACAGGTAGTCTCCAGTTTAAGAACAAGTTCCATTCCCACGTCTGTCCTTAAGTCGAATTTGTATGTAAGCTGGAACAGTGTTATTGTATAATACTGTGTAAGTAGTATTGTGTAATTAACTTGAACCATTGTGTATTTAACTCAGATCACTGTGTATTTAACTCAAATTTTGCTGCAGTAGGCTCTGTTCTTAACTATAGGTCATCCTTAAACTGGGCGTTCTTAACCTGGGGACTACCTGTACTCCTCACTTCTATTATTGGCTTGAAGAGAATTTCATAAGCATCCAGTCAGTGAAAGTACAGCTAAGCTGAGACTGTAAAACCAGGAAACCATATAACAACAAGAACTGTTAAAAAGAGAACTCTGCCATTTTAATGTCTAAAATTAAAATGAATTTTAAGCATGGCTCTGGAATGCAGTGTCAGTTACCAAAGGAATCAGATGCTGTGGGAGTTCTAGAGAGATAATCTTTAAATGTAGAGATGATTCTTACACATGTAGGGAATGGAGAAGCAAGCCTGCTCCCACATTCACTGGCTTCCCAACCAATCAGTATAAATGACAGATAGACAGGGTATTGTGTTTCAATCAGCACTGACTCTGAGGTGTCTTGTACTTCATTATGTAGAGAGTCAAATTGCCCAATGCCTCCTGTTCTAGGAAGGGAGAGGATTTTGTTCTTTTGGAGAGGTAGTAGGCAGAACTCATAGAAGGGGAATAAGGAAGAAGTGTGTGGCAGTGTGGAGTTCGAAAGGAAGGCTGAGATGATTTTCCTTCAGCCCCAGAATTAAGGTAGGAATTTCAGGAACCTCAAAAGCTAGTCCAGGTAAGATTGAATCAGAAAGGAACAAGGATTTGTTACTTGGCTGGACATGGGTAAATGTTTCTGTAATACAGTGGTACCTCTAGTTACGAACGCCCCTACTTACGAATTTTTCGAGATACAATCAGCTCCAGCCCCAAAAATTTACCTCGACTTATGAACCAGATCCGCGGCCATTTCCCGCCCATTCCACATGGTCCGTGGCCATTTTTCTGCCCGTGCCACGTGGTCCGTGGCCATTTTACACCCGTGCCACGTGGTCCACGGCCATTTTCCACCCGTGCCACATGGTCCGCAGCCATTTTTCTGCCCGTTCCACGTGGTCTGCGGCCGTTTTTCGGCCCGTTCCATGTGGTCCGCGGCCGTTTTTCCGCCCCTGCCACGTGGTCCGCGGCCATTTTTCCGCCCCTGCCACGTGGTCCGTGGCCATTTTTCCGCCCCTGACGTGTGGTCCGCAGACGCTGGAACGGATTAACGGTAATTACATTGAACCTTATGGGAAAATTTGCCTTGTGTTGTGACCAATTCGAGTTGCAACCAGTCACGGAACGGATTAAATTCGTAACTCGAGGTTCCACTGTATTGTGCTTAGATTATTTATTTTCTGTGTACTTGTAAAGATCTTTAGTTTGTCTCTGATGCTTATTACATCTGTGTAAGCTCAGTTATTGCACATTTGATGCCTCAACTCTGAACAGTAGTTCCATCACACCTTGTGATATGTTCCAAGCTTGTATTCTCCTTTACAGCTTTTTACAGGAAATTCCATTAAGGCACTGTTTGTGATTTTAGTGGCACTGTACTTTTTCCCCACTTCATCATAGTTTTTTACATGTGACTGCCTAAAATTTGAAGGAATTTCTACATTCTTTCCCCCCCTTTTCTTAATAAAACCTGCTTTTAGATATACTCTATGGTATTGATCTAAATATCAAAGGAAAGCTACTTTCCCAGTTTCATACCTCAAAACTATAAGGGCCAAGATGTGATGCCAGACAAGTATTTCCTTTTCATCATCTTTTTTTCCTACTGTTTGCCAGTAAGACACCTAGACTGTGAATTTTCTGTTTGTCTCACATACAAGGGTTAGATGCCAGGTAGAGGTATCCCCCTGGAAAGTAGGTGGTGGCAGTAACAGCCAAGCAGCTATACAAAGGCAGGAAGGTAGGCTGAGTGGATAAACTCAGTGGGCTTCTAGGAGAGGAGGTTTAAGACCTTCAGCCTTTTATCCTGTGGGCTCAGCTTTGCTGTTACCATACATTTGTGGTTTTATAGTTGACACACTAACCATTCATTAGTTTATTATTGTGCAACGTACTATAACTGAGAGAAAACATATACATTTTCTTCCTCTCTGAGAGATGCCCAAAATTGCCTTAAATCAATTTCTTTCCTTTCAGATAGTTAAGCAAACACCGATGAAATTCGACACGAAAAATTTACATATACCAGCATATACAGGTATAGTATAATGGAGTAAAGATAATTTGTATAAGGGCTGTTATTTCTTGTTACTAAAGAACACCTTTGTATCCATTTAGGTAATATCTAACTGAAACAGTGGTGAGTTGTGCATTATCCTGAGTTGTGATTATGGCTTAGTCTTTGAACAATCACACTAACACTTCTCAGTGTTCCTGTGTGGGCATGATTAAAAACCATAAGTAGCTTGCTTTCTTTGCCAAGGTTTCAGTATCAATTAAACCGGGTATTCTGACTTGTTCTGATCAGAACAAACCAAAGAAAATATACCATAATTTCTTTTATATTTTTCTGGTTTGTTGTGGTTAAAACAAGGCAGAGTTTCGATTTGAAGTCACAGGAAATTTGGCTTAATAAACAATTGATGGCTTTCAGGAGGAGCAAGGAGGTGCTATTAGGTTTGTTGCCAACTAAGCTCTCTTTCGGGACATAGAAACATGATCAATACTAAATATTTCAGTAAAAATAAAAAAAATATTGTACTCCTGCAATTTACAAAATGTAATAGAATATGTCCTCTTAAAACTATTCTTGATTTATTTTTCTGTTCAGCTGAGAAACTGTTAATTCTGGAACAAACAGAATGGAATGACTTTATGCAACAAGTGTGTCAACTGGCCAGCTCTCCAGAGAAAACTGCAGGAGCCACCAGAATTAAACTGAATTTATTGTGCTATCTCTGCAGTGTGCTTGGCTATAAGGAAGTAGCAACAAGATTAATTGACACCCAGCTGGTAAGCTTTAGGGTCAAGAGTCAACAAGTTGGTATACAAATGTAGTAAACCCTTTACAATGATGCTTTTTTTGGTATTGTAAGAAAATAATGTTTAATTATGTTATTATAATTATATAATATAATTAAACATAATTTATATCACACCTTTCTCCCCAGAGGACACTCACTCAATTCATATTTATCTGAGAGAAAATTCCAGTTAACTTAATGGCACTAATCTCTAAGTAAGTATGCATAAGCAAGAAACTAGTACAGTGGTACCTCGGGTTACGAACGCCTCTGTTAATGAACTTTTCGGGTTACGACCAGCTCCGGCTGCAAAAATTTACCTCGGTTTGCGAACTCCGCCTCAGGTTACGAACCGGATCCAAGGCCATTTTCCCTGCTGCCACCCGGTCGCGGCTTCCTGTGGGCAAGATCGCGGTAGCAAGGAGACGTTCGGTGAGGCTTG